CCCCAGCAAATTTTAAGGTGCAGGAGCCTCGGGAGGGTTTTGTTGTTGTTAATCACTGGTTTTAAAAAAAAAAAAAAAAATCTTTGGGAGGATGACTCTTTTGCAGGAGTCGTCTGCCCTGAAAGCAGAAATACCCCTAAGGAGCTAGCGACGGCGGCGCTGGATCCCACCAAAACAGAACTGCCTGATGTGGCATGTGCTTCTCTCTCTTTGCAGTTCCTTCTGGGCCTGTGTGGACTAGGAGCACAGCGCGGCGCCTGACCGGCAGGAGGGGAAAAGCGGAGACTCCTTCAGGTTTCCAAAGAGGTCCAAGCGGACTGCATTAGTAAGTAAATACTCTGTGCCTGGTTTCCGTTCCTATGTTCTCCTGCTCCTCCAAACCTTTTATTAGCATGTTCACACATGCACCCGTATGCACACACACACATATCTCTCTCTATATATATTTACATCTACGTGTGTGTGTGTTTATATTTCTGCTTTTAAGTTACTACACTTTTCTCGTCAGAGTGGAAGTTGACTATAGTAACTTGAACTGTTTTCAGTGGGAAAAGTGCATAAAATGGCTTGCCCTTCTTTTATGAGAAAAGAAAATTGCAGGTGAATACTTGTGTAAAGAAACTGAGTGTGTTAAGTATCGTGTAATGTCTACCTTAATCCGAGTATAGGTATGTGGTAGATTACAGGCAAAATCCAAACAAAGAGATATTCCCTCAGGAGGGATCTGCAGCACAGTGTGACCTGCTAAGTAATGCCAGGTGACAGGGCATTCAGTTTAATGTAAAATGTCCATGGATTATAGATACTAAGAGTGTTTTGTCTGCATTCAATTGTAAGCATTTTTAGTCCACATTTTTGAAGTTGTTAGATTTTTCATGAAGTTTTATATGTACAAAATGTTTGTATATTTTTTCCTCTAATGGGGATGACAGTTCCAGACAACAGCTATGCTTTCTAAGTGCTCAATGGGACATATTCAAAAGTGCTTATGGTACTTTTTTATGTAGGTGCAAAAGATGTAGGGGAAATAAAAAGATAAACTCGTTAAAGAGGACTTGAGGAACAGTAGAATTGAGGTTTGCTGGCAGAGCTGTAGAGCTGACAAAAGGTACAAAGATCAAATAAAGGTATGTCATGAAGAGTCTGACGTTTAGCGCTAAATATATCTGCATCTCGGGGGGAGAACTTTTGCAGACACTATTTCTTTTGGGACAGTGGACCCATTGTCGAGATTTGCGGCATCTCTGATAGAGGAAACAGCTAGTACTAGTAGTTGAGGGTTAACTGTTTCTTAGGTAAAGGGGAGAAATATGGATGAAAAATATGTCAATGAAAATATTTGCGCATGTTTGCTAATATCTAAGTAAAACCTTTGTGTTATGTCAGGAGAAATATAGTTGAGTCAGGTATTTTGATTGTACTGGAAGGAATCAATAGCATTTCAGCATTTTTTCTTTATTCCTGCCAAATGGACTTGGATTTAAATTCTTCATGTGTTGTTGTATCTGTTGTAGAGGCAATATGGATTTGAATAAAATAAACTTACTTTTTTACAAGTTCTTGATAAACTTGAGTTATTTTACAGTACAAATTGAGAATAATAAATGGGTACTGTAAATAAACTATACAACTCAAATCTCTTCTGTATTGTGTTTTTACTGTTCACCTTATCGGAATGAACTTGTGTCATTAGAAGCCGTTAAACATGCTTTTACAAGTGCATTTTATTAAGCATCTCAATGTGAAATTAATGTTCATTTTCAGTTGTAATTCAAAATCAATCACAACTAATCAATGTTGCCAGGAGTGAAAGTTTATTAGGGTCAAATTAAATGCTTTTCTTTCTGACGTAAAGAAATTAGTTTATGTCACAACAATAAAGGTAATTAGACAAAATTTATTTAGGAAATTAATGTGACAAGCAGGAAAGGCAAAATCTGCAGAAGGATAACATTCAGAGTTGTTTTCAGGTGTTCATAATCTTAAAGCTGGGAATAATTGCAAAGCATAGGCTACAAGTTCTGAGGTAGTGAATCAGGGTGACTTTCATATTGCATCACAGTACTCTTTGGGTACTTGACCGTAACATTTATGACAGAAAAAATACCCAATGAACTTGTGGACTTGAAATAAAATGATAACACATCTCTGGCTTAGTAAGGAATCCTACTGTTACTGCTTTAGTACTACGAATTTATCTTTTGGTTAAAAACAAACCTTTTTTTTTTTTTTTTTTTTTTAGGTAATATTTGACATGGCTCATTGCTGTCTTGTAGTACCTGCAGGCAGAGCATTAAAATAATATACCTAGATAATTTGCAGTTTTTTCCAGTCCTATGTTCCTAATTAAATGAAAAGCATATGCTGGCAGGCATTGATTATTGTTTTTTCCTCAGGAAATGAATAACCAGCCACATGCTGATAAAATAATAAGTCAGGGAAAAAAACCCAACAATGTATTCCGAATTTTTTTTTTGTTTAAAAAAAAACTTTTTTTTTTTTTTTTTTTGATAGGTAATATTTGACATGGCTCATTGCTGTCTTGTAGTACCTGCAGGCAGAGCATTAAAATAATATACCTAGATAATTTGCATAACCTGTTTTGAGACTGCATACAGAGAAGTTTATTAGGTTAAGCTTTCTCTTCTGCTAGGTGGTCCCAAAAGTGCAGCATGCAGTGTTGAATGTCTAACAAAGTGTCTATTTTTACAATAAAAGAAAAAAAGAATAAAATATACTTGACTAATCAGATTTGAGCTACATTTTGTAGTATAGATTCAGTCATAGAACACTTAACAATTTAGTAGTTTGATGCACACTGTTCATTATTTGTCTCTTGGATTTTCTTTAAATCTAGTGTATATCCTAGCAATACTTCAGTGTCTGTTTGAAAAATGACTTGACACATAGTCTACTTTTGCTGTAATTACTGTTTGCTACTGTGGGAAATGACCTGAGTCAGATCCTGGCAATTAAATTTGATACATACTATATTTGATCATATATGTATGTATAATCTTGATCGTAATTGTTGATATAGGAAAACGTCAAATCAGGTCAATCTAATTCAGAAGAAACAACAGAGAAGTTGACCTCTTACTGTAAAGATATAAAGTTGGTAGAATAAAATTGCATGTGTCAGCAGTAATGTGTTTTATTATGCAATTGTTCTTGTTATTCAGATCAGATAACAGTACGATGAAATATATAAGCAGTCTGCAGGGAAAAAATGATTAATTCCTCTAATGTGTGCTTACTGTAGGAATTCTTACTAATAAAATCGTACATACCTGCATTAGTTTGCAGTAGATTAAGTCAAATAGCATGGTCAATATTAATATTAAACACTTAGTGTACCAATATACTATCAAACTTTGTGGTCATAAACTGTGATGGGAAAATTTTGACAGACTGTTCATTCTTTTTTATATATGGCGTTATTGAATAAACTGACAGTACACAAACAAACATGATGCTTGACAGCACAAACTATTTTGAAATGGTAAAAAAAAATAGGATAAATATTATATAGTACTTAGCTTAGTTTGTGTGTCTGATTTTAACAATTTATACAGCATTGATAACTTTTATGTGTAAGGAGGCTAATTCTACAGGTTCCAAGTACAATAGCAAGTTGAAGAAACTAATATATCATTGGCTAAATTGGGAAACGGGGTAATTGAGCATTTTGGGAAAGGTTACTGATACTTTTCATCAGTCCAAAGCTCGTTAAGTGTGAAAACAGATTGGTACCTGAGTCCCATGTATTTAGAATGACCTTAATTGATCTAGTATCACTTCTAAGACCTTGTAAGCACAAATGTTCTTGGCAGCAAATATATATTTAACAGCGGCATTTATGCAGATGATTTGTAATTTAGGGTGTGATTTTTTGCTCTCTGTACTTAAGGAAAGTAGGTTTTTTCCTTCTTTAGTAGCTACAGGGATTCTAGGGAAACCAACTAGGGAGAAGGAAATTCTTAGGGCATTCTTTAAAAAATAAAAAAGGTGACAGGAATATCTCTGATTCATAAGTATTTGGGCTGTAGAATGCCTGTTTATGTGGCTTTGGATTTTTTTGCTGTACATGTATTATAAGGTCATTAGTACCAGAAATTTCTTAAAGAGATTTTGTTATCCCTTCTTCTAGACTTTACACCTTGCAGTTTTGCATTTACAATCCTAAGAGAAACTCTGATAAAGTTAACACGGGGTTTTATGTCACAGTGATAACGGAATGATGACAATACGATCATGCAGTATTGACAAAGAGGGTATTTGGTTTATAATTTTTTGGACATATTTGATTGTGATGAAAAATGTTTTGTAGCAAACACGGATTTAAAATTCCAATAGGAAATAAGCAGTAGGCATGGATGAATTAATTCTCAAACAAGAATTAAATGTACTTAATAATAAAGACTAAGAGAAGGAAATGTATACACAAGATTAGGCAAAAAGAATGTGTAATGGAAGGGTTTTTTAGCATTCTTAATGCTATTAGATGCTGTCTGATTTTCAATTTATCTATTCTAGTGGCTTCTTTAATAAGATTCAGTATGAAACAATAACAGAAAAGCTAGCAATAAACAGAAAATTGCAGAGAAATTGCTACTTTTATGGACAATACGAGGATTGAATTACGCATCTATTTTCATTTGTTGTCAATAGTTGCAGAAACGGTCCTATTTCTCTTGTATTTCTGTTCTATTAATATGCTTTATTACTCAAACTTATTGTGCAGGAAATCTCATTTTTTACATTCTGTATTTCCCTGTCAACTTTGTAAGTACTTCTAAAAAGTAGTTGCTCAATGAAGAGTATGGAATCTGGTTTATAAAATCAATTTTATGTAACTTCTTTCAGCAGTACTGTAAAATTTATCAAGATATTAATATGTTTTAAATTTGTGCTGAATACAGGCATGCCTTAAAATGCCTTTAAAGCTGGTTGAAATACTTTTACACTTTCCAGATTACGCACTTACATTGTGCTGAAATGTAAAATTAAGGGTTTAGAGATGCATTTGGAGGAAGAGTTTTCTTGATGTGTATGTTTGCAATAAGAAGAAGGTTCTGAATAGTCCGATATTTTACCTAGAATGCTGTGTGGAATTTGTTCCAGCCGTAAGCAGCCTGAGCTCATGTACTTACCAGTTAAAAAAAGATAAGAATTCCCCAGTATGTTTCAGGATGTCTTTTAAAAAGGTAAGGTGGACATTTTGGTGCATATGGTATATTCTGCTCTGTAAACAATGGCCTTCAAGAAATTAGTCTTTCTCCAAGCTGCTGCTCTTCTTTTAGTTTTAGATTAGCTAGCTGATTT